GTAGCAATCGCTTTCGAGTTCCGTAAATATCAGTGAAATCCTACAATAAAATGTCTGCTCATAGATTGAAATACAAATCTGTGTTACAAACTGCTGCTGAAATATGTACATTGTATGAAAATAATCGATAAACGTGTTTTAAAAGTACACAGGATAAAATAAATCAAAAGCATGCACTGCTCGTGAACTCCGATCAAAACATCAATTACCTACAGTAACAAAAGAAATACGTTATTTGTTATTCCGTCGATATACATGTTGTCTGTCCAACATCTCCACCTAAAAAGAAAGAAATTTGCTAAGTTTTCGCTAATATCAACAAGCCTCGTGACGTCACAATCCGCTCGAGAGATGCGCGCGGGACCTGAAATAGAATAAAAACTTTCCAATCTAAATATAGAAACTTAACCAAATCAAGGATACGTACACCTGTATGAAATTGTAAACTTGGGTACCGCCCCTCTTTTAATTTAGGGGGGGGGGGGGGGGTACTCAAACCTGTTTCTTTCTGTAACTATATCCTAATAAATAAAGAAATACCTCTCACTGGACGGTAAATCTGTTGTGTGTGTTTTACTCGTGGTTTTTTTTTTTCTCCTTGTAATGTGAACAATTGACTGGTAGAAGTTAAGACATCCATTGAACAAATCAAATAAACAAATAAACAAACAAAGAATCAAACAAACAAAACAAACAAACAAACAAACAAACAAGACAAACAAACAAACAAACAAACAAACAAACAGTGCAATCAATCATGTTTCAAAGAGGAAATATCGTTTACAATTGATTTATATTTAAGGTCTTTCCACTCCGTTAGGAAAGACCTTATTGTTTTTCTAATGTTTTTTTTAAGGTCTTTCCACTCCGTTAGGAAAGACCTTATTGTTTTTCTAATGTTTTTTTAAGGTCTTTCCACTCCGTTAGGAAAGACCTTATTGTTTTTCTAATGTTTTTTTTTCTTTTTCTTTTTAAGGTCTTTCCACTCCGTTAGGAAAGACCTTATTGTTTTTCTAATGTTTTTTTTTTTTCTTTTTTTTTTTTTTTTCTTTTTCTTTTTTTTTTTTTTTTTTTTTTTTTCTTTTTTTTCTTCCAACATTTTTTTGGGAATGCCCTCCCCCCGTTTCTGTTAAAGTTATCAAGACCAAATATGGACCATCGATAGACATCATCATGAAGTATTACCACATGACCTTGTTAAGGATTTCATCATCCCCTGTAGAAGTTATCCCCCTTTTATTGGATTTTTTCAACATGGCCCCCCTTCGTTGTTTTTGAAGATATCATGACCTTATTTTGACAATAGGTTGATCTCATCATGATGTACTACCATATGAGGCTGCATAGGATTTCATCATCCCCTATGCGAGTTATATCCCCTTGAAGCGATTTCTTTCCTTTGCATTTTTCTCAAAAAGTATTAGAGATAGAATCGATTTGAAAACGGCAACATATACAGGAACTGATGGCAATATTAATGAACATATAAAATAATTTTGTTATTGACCCTTATAAGGAGTTATTTCTCTTAAAAAAATATACACAATTTTTGAAAAATTGTATTTCGAGAACCGTAAGTCGTAGAGACTTGGGACCTACACCAATAATCTTAAGTTTATGTGACCTTCAATTTGCACCCAAGGTCAAAGGTCAAAGAGTGCAAAAAAAATTTACGCTGCAATTTCAAGCTTGCATATTAAGAAAACCATAAGAGTTTGCTGCATACATACTGTGTATAAAATGTTCCTCTCGACGAGCTCTACATTTTATACATTAAGCTCAAAAATTTCCGACCGTCTGTTCAAAAGTTACATTAACATAATTCTTAAAACTATAGTAACATATGCAAATCTTTTTAAAGGTAACAGATATCAACCTTCTATAAACTGGAAAGATGATCAGTAATTCAAGACCTTCAATTTGAGGTCAATTTCAGGTCATGATGAAATTCAATCTTGACCTTCAGAGTGTACCATGACCTTGACCTTGTGACATTTGAAAGGTCAAGTGGTCCTGAGTTGAATGGTGGTAGTCCCATGTCTCTACGACTTCCGGTTCTCAAGTTTGATATTGCATCATATATTTGATAATTCATTGTGACCTTGATGAACTTTGGAAATGTCCTCAAATTTTTTAAAATGTTGTCCTTTTACTGCAGAGCATTTTTCTTTTAACAGCTTTTGAGATATCTGTTGTCATTTAAGAGATAATGCAGTTTGAAATTTTGCGAGCGGAGGCATGTATTTCTGATTTAACAACAGTTTACCACCTGAAATTTTCAGAAATTAAAGAGTTCATCATGGTTATATGTTTGATTAAATACCAAAAACATTCAATGAAAAAAATACCCATAAAATCAATTTGAAATTTTATGTTTTGCATTTACTTTGTAAGTTTTATAATTTCTATTTATACAATTGATATTGCATCATTTTTGGCACTTTGCCAAATGGAGTCATTTGATATATCAAATTGAAGGTCTTAACGAGCTCTACTCAAAAATGAAAATGTGAAACCCCTTTTTTATCCCAGGGGGAAGGGTGGGGTCATTTAGTGCAGAAAATTCAAACTTCTCAGATGGTAAGGTTGTCGCATATCAAATGAAAGTCCATAAAGCGTACATTTCAAATATCAAACTGACGTCCCCAAAAAATGTGTTGGGTGGGGTCATTGAGTGCAAAAAATAAAATTTTCTTTTAAGGTAAGGTTGTTGTATTTCAAATGAAAGGTCGTAACGTGTACATTTCAAATATCAGATTCCTGTCCTCAAAAAATGAGTTGGATGGGGTTATTAAGTGCAAAAATCAAACTTTCTAGAACATGGCGTTGTCGCATATCAAATGAAAGATCATCAAGTCTACATTACATATATCATACTTCCGATCTCGAAAATTAAGGCGGATAGGGTCATTTAGTGTAAAAAGCAAAAAGTTTCAGAAGGTATGCTTGTCGTATATCAAATGAAAGGTCGTACAAAATACATTACAAAAACTTCACTTTAACAGGAAAGACCTTTCAATTGTTTTACAAACAATTGAGATACTAGTTCTTTTTTTAAGGTCTTTCCACTCCGTTAGGAAAGACCTTATTGTTTTTCTAATGTTTTTTTTTTTTCTTTTTTTTTTTTTTTTTCTTTTTCTTTTTTTTTTAAGGTCTTTCCACTCCGTTAGGAAAGACCTTATTGTTTTTCTAATGTTTTTTTTTTTTCTTTTTTTTTTTTTTTTTCTTTTTCTTTTTTTTTTTTTTTTTTTTTTTTCTTTTTTTTCTTCCAACATTTTTTTGGGAATGCCCTCCCCCCGTTTCTGTTAAAGTTATCAAGACCAAATATGGACCATCGATAGACATTATCATGAAGTAATACCACATGACCCTGTTAAGGATTTCATCATCCCCTGTAGAAGTTATCCCCCTTTTATTGGATTTTTTCAACATGGCCCCCCTTCGTTGTTTTTAAAGATATCATGACCTTATTTTGACAATAGGTTGATCTCATCATGATGTACTACCATATGAGGCTGCATAGGATTTCATCATCCCCTATGCGAGTTATATCCCCTTGAAGCAATTTCTGTCCTTTGCATTTTTTTCAAAAAGTATTAGGGATAGAATCAATTTGAAAACCGCAACATATACAGAAACAGATGGCAATGTTAATGAACATATAAAATAATTTTGTTATTGACCCTTATAAGGAGTTATTTCTCTTAAAAAAATATACACTATTTTTGAAAAATTGTATTTCGAGAACCGTAAGTCGTAGAGACTTGGGACCTACACCAATAATCTTAAGTTCATGTGACCTTCAATTTGCACCCAAGGTCAAAGGTCACAGAGTGCAAAAAAAATGTACGCTGCAATTTCAAGCTTGCATATTAAGAAAACGATAAGAGTTTGCTGCATACATACTGTGTATAAAATGTTCCTCTCGACGAGCTCTACATTTTATACATTAAGCTCAAAAATGTCCGACCGTCTGTTCAAAAGTTACATTAACATAATTCTGAAAACTAAAGTAACATATGTATATCTTTTAAAAGGTAACAGATATCAACCTACTACAAACTGCAAAGATGATCAGTAATTCAAGGCCTTCAATTTGAGGTCAATGTCAGGTCATGATGAAATTTAACCTTGACCTTCAGAGTGTACTATGACCTTGACCTTGTGACATTTGAAAGGTCAAGTGGTCCTGAGTTGAATGGTGGTAGTCCCATGTCTCTACGACTTCCGGTTCTCAAGTTTGATATTGCATCATATATTTGATAATTCATTGTGACCTTGATGAACTTTGGAATTGTCCAATTTTTTTTTTAAATGTTGTCCTTTTACTGTAGATCATTTTTCACTTAACAAATTTGAGATACCTGTTGTCGTTTAAGAGATAATGCAGTTTAAAATTTTTCGAGCGGAGGCATGTATTTCTGAATCAACAACAGTTTACCACCTGATATTTTCAGAAATGAAAGAATTCAACATGGTTATATGTTTGACTAAATACCAAAAACATTCAATGAAAAAAAAACCCAAAAAATCAATTTGAAATTTTCATGTTTTGCATTTACTTTGTAAGTTTCATAAGTTCTATTTATATAATTGATATTGCATCATTTTTAGCACTTTGCCAAATGGGGTCATTTGATATATCAAATTGAAGGTCTTAACGAGCTCTACTCAAAAATGAAAATGTTAAACCCCCTTTTCATCCTAGGGGGAAGGGTGGGGTCATTTAGTGCAAAAAATTCAAACTTCTCAGATGGTTAGGTTGTCGCATATCAAATGAAAGTCCATAAAGCGTACATTTCAAATATCAAATTGACGTCCCCAAAAATGGGTTGGGTGGGGTCATTGAGTGCAAAAAATTAAATTTTCATTTAAGGTAGGGTTGTTGTATTTCAAATGAAAGGTCGTAACGTGTACATTTCAAATATCAGATTCTTGTCCTCAAAAAATTAGTTGGATGGGGTTATTAAGTGCAAAAATAAAACTTTCTAGAACATGACGTTGTCGCATATCAAATGAAAGATAATCAAGTCTAGATTACATATATCATACTTCCGATATCAAAAATGTAGGCGGATGGGGTCATTAAGTGTAAAAAGTGAAAATTTTCAGAAGGTATGCTTATCGTATATCAAATGAAAGTTCTTAAAGAGTACATTACAAAAACATCACTTTTGCAGGAAAGACCTTTCAATTGTTTTACAAACAATTGAGATACTAGTTTTTTTTTTTTTTTCTTTTTTTTCTTCCAACATTTTTTTGGGAATGCCCTCCCCCCGTTTCTGTTCAAGTTATCAAGACCAAATATGGACCATCGATAGACATCATCATGAAGTATTACCACATGACCCTGTTAAGGATTTCATCATCCCCTGTAGAAGTTATCCCCCTTTTATTGGATTTTTTCAACATGGCCCCCCTTCGTTGTTTTTGAAGATATCATGACCTTATTTTGACAATAGGTTGATCTCATCATGATGTACTACCATATGTGACTGCATAGGATTTCATCATCCCCTATGCGAGTTATATCCCCTTGAAGCGATTTCTTTCCTTTGCATTTTTCTCAAAAAGTATTAGAGATAGAATCGATTTGAAAACGGCAACATATACAGGACCTGATGGCAATGTTAATGAACATATAAAATAATTTTGTTATTGACCCTTATAAGGAGTTATTTCTCTTAAAAAAATATACACAATTTTTGAAAAATTGTATTTCGAGAACCCTAAGTCGTAGAGACTTGGGACCTACACCAATAATCTTAAGTTCATGTGACCTTCAATTTGCACCCAAGGTCAAAGGTCACAGAGTGCAAAAAAACTTTACGCTGCAATTTCAAGCTTGCATATTAAGAAAACCATAAGAGTTTGCTGCATACATACTGTGTATAAAATGTTCCTCTCGACGAGCTCTACATTTTATACATTAAGCTCAAAAATGTCCGACTGTCTGTTCAAAAGTTACATTAACATAATTCTTAAAACTATAGTAACATATGTATATCTTTTAAAAGGTAACAGATATCAACCTACTATAAACTGCAAAGATGATCAGTAATTCAAGGCCTTCAATTTGAGGTCAATGTCAGGTCATGATGAAATTTAACCTTGACCTTCAGAGTGTACTATGACCTTGACCTTGTGACATTTGAAAGGTCAAGTGGTCTTGAGTTGAATGGTGGTAGTCTTATGTCTCTACGACTTACGGTTCTCAAGTTTGATATTGCATCATATATTTGATAATTCATTGTGACCTTGATGAACTTTGGAAATGTCCAATTTTTTTTCTAAAATGTTGTCCTTTTACTGTAGATCATTTTTCTTTTAACAAATTTGAGATACCTGTTGTCGTTTAAGAGATAATGCACTTTGAAATTTTGCAAGCGGAGGCATGTATTTCTGAATCAACAACAGGTAACCACCTGAAATTATAAGAAATTGAAGAGTTTAACATGGTTATATGTTTGACCAAATACCAAAAACATTCAATGAAAAAAAAAACCAAAAAATCAATTTGAAATTTTCATGTTTTGCATTGACTTTGTAAGTTTCATAAGTTCTATTTATATAATTGATATTGCATCATTTATGGCACTTTGCCAAATGGGGTCATTTGATATATCAAATTGAAGGTCTTAACGAGCTCTACTCAAAAATGAAAATGTAAAACCCCCTTTTCATCCCAGGGGGAAGGGTGGGGTCATTTAGTGCAAAAAATTAAAACTTCTCAGATGGTTAGGTTGTCGCATATCAAATGAAAGTCCATAAAGCGTACATTTCAAATATCAAATTGACGTCCCCAAAAAATGGGTTGGTTGGGGTCATTGAGTGCAAAAAAAATAAATTTTCTTTTAAGATAAGGTTGTTGTATATCAAATGAAAGGTCTTACCGTGTACATTTCAAATATCAGATTCCCGTCCTCAAAACATTAGTTGGATGGGGTTATTAAGTGCAAAAATCAAACTTTCTAGAACATGGCGTTGTCGCATATCAAATGAAAGATAATCAAGTCTAGATTACATATATCATACTTCCGATATCAAAAATGTAGGCGGATGGGGTCATTAAGTGTAAAAAGTGAAAATTTTCAGAAAGTATGCTTGTCGTATATCAAATGAAAGCTCTTAAAGAGTACATTACAAAAACATCACTTTTGCAGGAAAGACCTTTCAATTGTTTTACAAACAATTGAGATACTAGTTCTTTTTTTTTTTTGTCTTTTTTTTCTTCCAACATTTTTTTTGACATGCCCTTCCCTCGTTTCTATTAAAGCTATCAAGACCAAATTTGAACCATCGATAGACCTCATTGTGAAGTATTACCAGATGACTCTGTTAAGGATTTCATCATCCCCTTTTGAAGTTATCTCCCTTTTATTGGGTTTTTTCAACATGGTCCCCCCTCGTTGTTTTTAAAGATATCATGACCTTATTTGTACTATAGGTAGATCTCATCTTGATGTATTACCAAATTAGGCTGCGTAGGATTTAATCGGCTCGTTTGAGAGTTGCATCCCCTTGAAGCAATTTCTTTTATTTGCATTTTTCTTAAAAAGTATAAGAGATAGAATCTAATTGAAAATAGCAGCATCTACAGGAACAAAGGGCAATGTTAATAAACATAAACAATTAGTATGTTATTTATCTTTAAAAGGAGTTATTTCCCTTGAAAAAAATTACTAAATTTTTGAAAAATTGTATTTCGAGAACCGGAAGTCGTAGAGACTTGGGACCTTCACCAATAATCTTTAATTCATGTGACCTTTAACTTGCACCCAAGGTCAAAGGTCACCGAGTGCAAAAAAAAATTACGCTGCAATTTCAAGCTTACATATTAGGAAAACGATAAGAGTTTGCTGCATACATACTGTGTATAAAATGTTCCTCTCGACGAGCTCTACATTTTATACATTAAACTTAAAAATGTCCGACCGTCTGTTCAAAAGTTACGACGAGATAATTCTTAAAAGTATAGTATTGTGTATATATCTTTTTAAAGGTAACAGATATAAACCTACTATAAATTGCAAAAATGATCAGTATTGTAAGACCTTCAATTTGAGGTCAATGTCAGATCATGATGAAATTTTACCTTGACCTTCAAAGTGTACTATGACCTTGACCTTGTGATATTTGAAAGGTCAAGTTGTCTTGAGTTGAATGGTGGTAGTCTTATGTCTCTACGACTTCCGGTTTTCAAGTTTGGTATTGCATCATATATTTGATGATTCATTGTGACCTTGATGAACTTTGGAATTGTCCCAAATTTTTTATGCAACGTTGCCCTTTAATTTCAGATCATTTATCATTTAACAGATTTGAGATATCTATTGTCGTTTTAGAGATAATGCAGTTTGAAGTTTTGCGAGCAGAGGCATGTATTTCTGAATCAACAACAGCTTTCCACCTGAAATTTTCAGAAATTGAAGAGTTTAACATCGTTATATGTTTGACTAATTACCACAAACTTTCAATGAAAAACTCAAAAAAAAAATCAATTTGAAATTTTCATCTTTTACATTGACTTTGTAAGTTTCATAAGTCCTATTTATATAGTTGATATTGCATCATTTTTGGCTCTTTGCCAAATGCGGTCATTATGTATATCAAATTGAACGTCTAAATGAGCTCTACTCAAAAATGAAAATTTCAAACCCCTTTTCCATCCCAGTGTAAGGGTGGGGTCATTAAGTGCAAACAATTCAAACTTCTCAGATGGTTAGGTTGTCGCATATCAAATGAAAGTCCATAAAGCGTACATTTCAAATATACGAAAGTTTTATTTTGATTCGGTTCACATATAACAATACAAACATAAGCTCTTAAGAGCTTTTTACCGAATATAAGGTAACACAAACACAACATTAAAACACACAACATGCAGACAGGATATATAACAGCACAGTCATATCGAAATACATGCAAAGCACTTTTAAAATACATATCTAAAGCCAAAGCTGAAGCACAACTAAAAATTAAGCACAACTAAAATTAAGCACAAATAAAATATAGCACACATGCAAAAATTTAAGGCATAATAACATGTTAGAGCAACTTCTAAAATATGATAAAGCTTATCTACAAGCAGAACAACAACATTTTGAACCATTCCAAGACTGTATAAGGCTCTTAAATTGAGAAAAACTGTTTTCAGTCCTGAAATGGTCAGGTAGGCTGTTCCACAGAGTAGCAGCTGCAAATTTAAAACTTTTCTTACCAAACTGTGTAGTTTTTACATGTGGTATATCCAGTATATTACTATATCTGAAAGAATATTTACAATCTTTTATATTTAATAAATCATGTAAACAGACAGGTGCTAATTTATTGACTATATTAAAAGTTTCAATTGCCATAGATCTTTGTCTTTTAATATGCAGTGAAGGCATCTTAGCCTTTTCAAGCAACTGTTGATATGAGCTTGAATGGTCTTCGTACACAAACCTTAGTGCTCTTTCTTGCACTTTTTCTAATTTTTTTGAATTTTTCTCGGTACAAAAATGCCATGCCAAAGGGCAGAAATTGAAGTTTGACAAAATAAATGTATGGAAAATAGTAAGCTTACTTAGCTTGTTCAGATAAGCTCCCAAACGTTTCAAAATATTTAGTTGCTGAGATGCCTTCCTGCATATTTTACCAATATGAATATCAAAATTTAGCTGATAATCTATGTCAATGCCAAGTAATTTGACAGTTGACTCACACGAAAGATCAGCACTTTGGATACGTATAGATGGATTTTTGTTATATGTCTTTTTCCCAACTGCTAGGACCTGAAATTTGTCGGGGTTTGCCTGCATTTTATTTATTTTGAACCACTCAATAAGTTTGAGTGATTCAGATTCCAAAGTAGAAATCAAAACATCATAATCAGGACTACAGTAAGATAAAGTATTGTCATCTGCATAATTATACAAAGTTCCATTTTTTATAAATAAGAATATATCATTGATAAAAACATTGAATAGTAAGGGGCCCAGGATAGAACCCTGGGGAACCCCCTTATGAATGTCAGCCCAACTGCTAAGAATACTATTTATTTTAATTTGTTGTTTCCTGTTTGTCAAATAAGATTTAAGTAGTGAAATAGAATGAACAGAGACACCATATGCTGATAATTTATCAAGCAGAATTTCATGTGGTAGGCAATCAAAAGCCTTTGATAGGTCCATTAAAACAGCAGCTATATACTGGTTTTTATCTAATGCTGCACGCCAATCTTCTAGCAGTCGTAACAGTGTGGTCTGACACCCATGGCCACGTCTAAAAGCACACAGATAGGGATGAAAAATAATTTCAAAAAAATCACCAAGTTGAATTTCAAAAACCTTTTCATAAATTTTAGAAAAAAATTGGTAGAACGCTGACAGGCCTATAATTGGCTTTGTCAAGTTGGTTGTTTTTCTTGTGCAGTGGTGTTACTTGAGCCTGCTTGAGTCTATCAGGAAAAACTCCAGTTTCTACAGATAGATTTATAAGTGTTGTTAACTGTGGCACAATTATCGGTTTACAATGTTTCACTACTTTTGCTGGTATGCCATCTACTCCAGTAGCTTTTTTAATGTTAATTTTATTAATAATTTTTGCTACTTTTTCTGTTGTTGTTTTCTGAAAATCAAATTTTGTGTTAGTGCAGTTTTGATCTTTTATTTGCAAGATACTGGCATGAGTTGGTGGGTCGTATAGCACGTCACTACCAATCTTGTCTGCAACTGTCGAAAAAAAAATGTGTTAAAGTGTTCTGAAACATCTTTGGTGTTGTTTATGATTTTGTTGTTTTCACATAAAACAATTTTTTGTTCCCCTGAGTGACATTTTTTTGAGAAAAACGGCTTTATAGTTGTCCAAAAGTTACTGTTTTTTGCCCCACCTGAACAACGTTCTAAAAAATTTTTCATGGATACTTTTTTAAGTTTTGTAACAAGGTTTCGCTGTTTCCTATATTTTTCCCATGTTTTTGAATCTTTATGCTTTGTAAATTGTGTGTACAGCATGTGTTTGTGATATACAGCTTTTCTAAGTTCACTATTCATGCACGGTAATGGTTGTTTTCTTGGTTGTCTTGTTTTGATCGGTGCATGTTTGTTTAGAATATTTGTGAATGTATCTTCAAATTCATTATATGCCTGGTTTAACTGTTCAGAATTTGTGACATTTTCTGTAAGTGGCATTTTTATTTGGTTTAGATCTGTGTTAAATTTATCTATATCAAAATTTCTATAACTTCTGTATGATATTTTTTGCTGTTTTGGGGCATGAACTTTGCCCTTGATTGTAACTGATATAAGATTATGACAATCACTAATACCTGTAGATAAATTGTGGGTGTTAAAACACATATTTTCCTTGTTTGTGAGTATAACATCAACAAGTGAGGGTTTAGACCCTTTCATAAAACAAGTTGGTTTTGATATTAATTGTGACAAGTTGAAGATATCACATATGTCATTCATAGATTGACATTTTTTACTATTTAACATGTCAAAATTTAGGTCACCAAGTAATAAAATATTATCATAGTTAATTATACATTTGTCTATATTTTTTGTAAAGTTATCTGAAATATCAAATTGACGTCCCCAAAAAATGAGTTGGGTGGGGTCATTGAGTGCAAAACATAAATTTTCTTTTAAGATAAGGTTGTTGTATATCAAATGAAAGGTCATAACGTGTACATTTCAAATATCAAATTCCTGTTCTAGAAAAACTAGTTGGATAGGGTTATTAAGTGCAAAAATCAAACTTTCTAGAAGATGGCGTTGTCGCATATCAAATGAAAGATCATCAAGTCTACATTACATATATCATACTTCCGATCTCGAAAATTAAGGCGGATGGGGTCATTAGGTGTAAAAAGCGAAAAGTTTTAGAAGGTATGCTTGTCGTATATCAAATGAAAGGTCGTACAAAGTACATTACGAAAACATCACTTTAACAGGAAAGACCTTTCAATTGTTTTACAAACAATTGAGATACTAGTTTTTCTAATGTTTTTTTTTCTTTTTTTTCTTTTTTTCCTTTTTTTCTTCCAACATTTTTTTGACAGGCCCGCCCCTAGTTTCTTTTGGAGTTGTCAAGCCCAAATATGGACCATCGATAGACCTCATTATGAAGTATGACCAGATGACCCTGTTAAGGATTTCATCATCCACTTTAGAAGTTATCTCCCTTTTATTGGATTTTTTCAAGATGGCCCCCCCTCGTTGTTTTTAAAGATATCATAACCTTATTTGTACAATAGGTAGATCTAATCATGATGTATTACCATATGAGGCTGCGTAGGATTTCATCATCTTATTTGAAAGTTATATCCCCTTGAAGCAATTTCTTTTATTTGCATTTTTCTTAAAAAGTATTAAAGATAGAATCGAATTGAAAATAGCAGCATATACAAGAACAGATGGCAATGTTAATAAACATAAACAATTAGTATGTTATCAACCCTTATAAGGAGTTATTTCCCTTGAAAAATTATACCCAATTTTTGAAAAATTCTATTTCGAGAACCAGAAGTCGTAGAGACTTGGGACCTTCAACAATAATCTTTAATTCATGTGACCTTTAACTTCCACACAAGGTCAAAGGTCACTGAGTGCAAAAAAAATTTACGCTGCAATTTCAAGCTTACATATTACGAAAACGATAAGAGTTTGCTGCATACATCCTGTGTATAAAATGTTCCTCTCGACAAGCTCTACATTTTATACATAAAGCTCAAAACTGTCCGACCGTCTGTTCAAAAGTTACGACGAGATAAATCTTAAAAGTATAGTATTGTGTGTATATCTTTTTAAAGGTAACATATATCAACCTACTATAAAATGCAAAAATGATCAGTATTTTAAGACCTTCAATTTGAGGTCAATATCAGGTAATGATGAAATTTTGTCTTGACCTTCAAAGAGTACTATGACCTTGACCTTGTGACATTTGAAAGGTCAAGTGGTCCTGAGTTGAATGGTGGTAGTCCCATGTCTCTACGACTTCCTGTTCTCAAGTTTGGTATTGCATCATATATTTGATGATTCATTGTGACCTTGATGAACTTCGGAATTGTCCCAAATTTTTGTCTACAATGTTGTCCTTCAAGTGCAAATCATTAATCATTTAACAGATTTGAGATATCTATTGTCGTTATAGAGATAATGCAGTTTGAAATTTTGCGAGCGGAGGCATGTATTTCTGAATCAACAACAGCTTTCCACCTGAAATTTTCAGGAATTTAAGAGTGTAACAATGGTATGTGTTTGACTAATTACCAAAAACTTTCAATGAAAAACTAAAGAAAAAAATTCATTTGAAATTTTCATCTTTTACATTGACTTTGTAAGTGTCACAATTCCTATTTATATAATTGATATTGCATCATTTTTGGCACTTTGCCAAATGGGGTCATTTGATATATCAAATTGAAGGTCTTAACGAGCTCTACTCTAAAATGAAAATGTTAAACCCCTTTTACATCCCAGGGGGAAGGATGGGGTCATTTAGTGCAAAAAATTCAAACTTCTCAGATGGTTAGGTTGTCGCATATCAAATGAAAGTCCATAAAGCGTACATTTCAAATATCAAATTGACGTCCCCAAAAAATGGGTTGGGTGGGGTCATTGAGTGCAAAAAATAAAATTTTCTTTGAAGGTAAGGTTGTTGTATTTCAAATGAAAAGTCGTAACTTGTATATTTCAAATATCATTCCTGTCCTCTAGAAATGAGTTGGATGGGGTTATTAAGTGCAAAAATCAAACTTTCTAGAACATGGCGTTGTCGCATATCAAATGAAAGATAATCTATCTAGATTACATATATCATACTTCCGATATCAAAAATGTAGGCGGATGGGGTCATTAAGTGTAAAAAGTGAAAATTTTCAGAAGGTATGCTTGTCGTATATCAAATGAAAGGTCTTAAAGAGTAGATTACAAAAACATCACTTTTGCAGGAAAGACCTATCAATTGTTTTACAAACAATTGAGATACTAGTGGTTTTTTTTTTTTCTTTTTAAGGTCTTTCCACTCCGTTAGGAAAGACCTTATTGTTTTTCTAATGTTTTTTTTTTTCTTTTTAAGGTCTTTCCACTCCGTTAGGAAAGACCTTATTGTTTTTCTAATGTTTTTTTTTTCTTTTTCTTTTTCTTTTTTTTCTTTTTTTTCTTCCAACATTTTTAAACATGCCCTACCCCCGTTTTTGTTAAAGTTATCAAGACCAAATATGAACCATCGATAGACCTCATCGTGAAGTATTACCAGATGACCCTGTTAAGGATTTCATCATCCCCTTTAGAAGTTATCTCCCTTTTATTGGTTTTTTTCAACATGCCCCCCCCCCCCCTCGTTGTTTTAAAAGATAACATGACTTTATGGGGACAATAGGTAGATCTCATCATGATGTATTACCATGTGAGGCTGCGTAGGATTTCATCATCCCCTTTGAGAGTTATATCCCCTTGAAGCAATTTCTTTTATTTGCATTTTTCTTAAAAAGTATTAGAGATAGAATCGAATTGAAAATGGTAGCATCTACAAGAACAGATGGCAATGTTAATAAACATAAACAATTAGTTTGTTATCAACCCTTATAAGGAGTTATTTCCCTTTCAAAATGATACACAATTTAAGAAAAAATCTATTTCGAGAACCGGAAGTCGTAGAGACTTGGGACCTTCACCAATAATCTTTAATTCATGTGACCTTTAATTTGCACCCGACGTGAAAGGTCACTGAGTGCAAAAAAAAATTACGCTGCAATTTCAAGCTTACATATTAAGAAAACCATAAGAGTTTGCTGCATACATACTGTGTAGAAAATTTTCCTCTCAACGAGCTCTACATTTTATACATCAAGCTCAAAACTCTCCGACCGTCTGTTCAAAAGTTACGACGAGGTAATTCTTAAAAGTATAGTATTGTGTGTATATCTTTTTAAAGGTAACAGATATCAACCTACTATAAATTGGAAAAACGATCAGTATTTTAAGACCTTCAATTTGACCTTGATGAACTTCGGAATTGTCCCAAATTTTTGTCTACAATGTTGTCCTTCAAGTGCAAATCATTAATCATTTAACAGATTTGAGATATCTATTGTCGTTATAGAGATAATGCAGTTTGAAATTTTGCGAGCGGAGGCATGTATTTCTGAATCAACAACAGCTTTCCACCTGAAATTTTCAGGAATTTAGAAGTGTAACAATGGTATATGTTTGACTAATTACCAAAAACTTTCAATGAAAAACTAAAGAAAAAAATTAATTTGAAATTTTCATCTTTTACATTGACTTTGTAAGTGTCACAATTCCTATTTATATAATTGATATTGCATCATTTTTGGCACTTTGCCAAATGGGGTCATTTGATATATCAAATTGAAGGTCTTAACGAGCTCTACTCTAAAATGAAAATGTTAAACCCCTTTTACATCCCAGGGGGAAGGATGGGGTCATTTAGTGCAAAAAATTCAAACTTCTCAGATGGTTAGGTTGTCGCATATCAAATGAAAGTCCATAAAGCGTACATTTCAAATATCAAATTGACGTCCCCAAAAAATGGGTTGGGTGGGGTCATTGAGTGCAAAAATTAAAATTTTCTTTTAAGGTAAGGTTGTTGTATTTCAAATGAAAAGTCGTAACTTGTATATTTCAAATATCATTCCTGTCCTCTAGAAATGAGTTGGATGGGGTTATTAAGTGCAAAAATCAAACTTTCTAGAACATGGCGTTGTCGCATATCAAATGAAAGATAATCAAGTCTAGATTACATATATCATACTTCCGATATCAAAAATGTAGGCGGATGGGGTCATTAAGTGTAAAAAGTGAAAATTTTAAGAAGGTATGCTTGTCGTATATCAAATGAAAGGTCTTAAAGAGTACATTACAAAAACATCACTTTTGCAGGTAAGACCTTTCAATTGTTTTACAAACAATTGAGATAGTAGTTTATTTTTTGTTTCTTCTAACCATTTTTACTGTTTAAAGTTCAAATCTTATCTCGTGTAAACAAAAGACAACCACTTATGAATTCTTTTGTTATTCAAATTGTGTTCCCGGTTGAATGCCTGTTAAATATTGACATCGACACGACATGTGCTTCAAATGCTTAAGAATTTTCGATGAATGATTATTTGTGAAATATATGTATGTGTACTTGTGAGGAAACACAATCTATGGTGAGTAAAATACTTTTACAAAAAAGTGAAGTATGCAATATAAAAACGTATCAACTATAAACTATAAAATTACTTTTTATAAATAATGGCGATTGTTTGTAAATAAAGGTGTAAACTAAACGCTAGTTTAAATTGTGATGTTGTATTCGAATGATACATATAACTATAACTATAATACCGAGGCACCAGCTATTTCATAAAAATGTGTATATCTACTATTGAGCAAACATAAGCAATTCGACATTTAATAGTAATTACAATATTTGAGATAAACGGTCAATAATATATGTTCAAATTAATTTCTATTCCGAATAAGTTCTTTTTGCTTGATTAAGCGATCATTTTAATCAAATCATTCATATATTTCTTAAAAATACGGATGGAGGATGTTTCATTAAATACTGTTTTGTTGAATTTAATGTCGTTCCGACCTTTCTAAATACTAAACTTTCCAGAAAGCACTATACAATTTCCATTGTATGTTTGCGTTTAATCAATATCTTGATTATATCTAACAATCATATTTTGGACATCAAAGTTAAGTTTTGTATCTATGCACAGAGACATCAGTCATTTTATTTCTGCAATGCTGTTTGAATTTTATAACGTATTAACATCGTAACATAGACTGAACAGATCATTATTGACTGCACACAAATTGTCTGAACAGTATTGAATTCAACGCAGTGGATAAGTCTAAAAAAGAATTGGTAGACTGAAAATTACTAAAACGTTATTTATTGTTCAGTTGTTTAAGAACTATTCAGATCGCATGACCGTTTCAACTAAACTTAAGGTAATACATCATTAGCAGAAGTTAAACATCATAACAATGAAACTAGTGAAGTCATCTTGTCTAACTAAACAACTCACCAGTAAACGCATTTTAGTCTTAAACTATCATTTTAGTTAGAGCATCATCTGTATGATCAATAAGATGTTCAGTCATGTCCAGTCTAACAGTCAACTTTTAGATTTATTCACTGTTCTGACATTTCTCTTGCAGTCAATTCAGTATTGTTTAGTAACGACTGAACAGCCTGAAGATAGACTGAACATATTTTAATTAATTGCAAGTTACCTAAAGTATTTCGTATTTATTAGTTTTTTTCTTTTTTGTCAAGATGTTGTCTGATTTTACTGGAGTTTTTTATGTATGCTTTCCCTCCAGGTTGTCTGCTCAATCTCTTTGTTAAGTTTAATTTGTCTTTGCGGATATTGTTTTGTTACGGATTTATTACTTGATCATGAACTCTTTCATAATCGATTGTACAATATTATGACAGTAAAGTTTTTTTTGGCACCAGATGAACATTTTGACATTTACTTCCTAAATGAAAATAACACTTTATTAAAAACATTGCGTTCGTTCGAAGCGCTTCTCTGTTTTAACCTTCATCAGGAACTCTTAAAGATGAAAATTTAAAAGCCAGGGATGTATAAATACACTGAAACCTTAGTATGCTGATAATCCGTACTTTGTTGCTTTATTCATCAAAAAAAAAGAAGATAACAGCCTTTAAAGATAAACCCCGAAATACATAAAGATACTTGTGTACAGGAAGTTGTAAAAAAATGGATTTTTACTAACCTAGTCACGTACATAAGATCTCATTGCAATAATAAATATGTTGATAAATTGATGGATGCTTAACATCTAGTGAAGAATGCTTAACATCCAGCTGCAAGTTACATATGCTTTTTCCGTACACGATATTGTGAATAAACAACTATTTTGAAATAACGTTTTTAAATATTCTCCCATTTAAAACCTTAAAAGAGTGAAGACCCTACAGGTTCGTTGTTTTTTTTTTCCTTTTATTGCTTTTCAATTATCAGTTTGATCACATCTTATACTTGTAACGATGAATTCGATATTGTTAACTGCAATTTGCGTTTTATTTTCAATCGGATATCATGTTGCTCAATTTATAACGTGAATATCATTGAGCTCATAATATAACGCGACCATCACTTGGCTCAATATATAACGTGACTGTCACTTGGCTCAATATATAACGTGAATATCACCTGGCACAATTTATAACGGGAATATCACTTGACTCAATTTATAACATGAATATCACTTGGCTCAATGTATAACTTAATGCTACGTCTTAATCAAGTTGAAAGTCTAAATGCAGTAACAATTTGTTTGCTAGTTAAACGTGCTTCTCGCTTGCTGGTGAACAACATTATTTCACTTGAAAAGAATTTACCCCGGATCTTTGCTTAGCTTTAGGTTTTTGGTGTGTGAATGTATATTGTTGTTTATCGTTTGGTCGTTTTTATTTTTTTGCCATAGCCTTGTCAGTTTGTTTTCGACTAACGAGTGTGAATGTACAGTTGATATTTGTCGCCTCTCTTTTAAAACTAATGTTAAAATCATGTTTGTGAATAACACTGCATTGTTTATTAATAGACTAACGTCGAATCGTTAGTATAAAATAAACTGCGTGTTAATATACACAAACACCATGTTCAAATATACACTTTATTACAACTTTATTTTAAGCAAAATGTTTTGATCATATATTAATGACATGTTGATTCATTGTTTGCAGCTGTTTAGTTTCTTGTCAGATAATTTTAGAAAAAGTAAGAAATACGAAGGGCCTCGACTATTTGTTGTTCAGATAACATAAGAAAAATACATTTTGTGACATTAGAAATATCCAAAACACCATGTCAAGCCCTAAATTAACCCCGACTAAAGAAAAGATGTCAAAGAGACTATTGATTATCCACCTTACACACTACATGACTTAATTGTATTGAATGTTCTTTTATTTTCGGAATTCGATATAAGGACGATAAATTCATGTCATTTCAGAAGCGGAGCAACAACAGTTTTGAATATCAACTAAAATAATCTTTAAAGCGTTTCTTATTTAATCTAGTAACGGACATGCATGTTACAAATCAAATAAACAACTTTTAGATATGGTATAAAAATGCAGTTTAAACTATTTTTCTACATATACTGTAGACATGCTGCTCCGTGTCTATGCAGAAGTATGTAACCCTATGCTAGGACTACAAACGTGAGTGAAACACGTAAAAATGGATCGCCTAAATGTACTTAAATAAATCTTCATTTGTTCTCTAAACTATTTGTTACATTTTACTCTTCATTTAAAAACATTTCCAAGCGATACTATCTTTTGGTTTAGCAAAACATTTGTTTCATTCTCAAAATGATTCTATATCGAGTGTATGGTAAGTTCTGCTGGTTATTTTGGGAAAAAAGATTTTAGAAGTACAAATGCGTTCTACTTTCCTTTTGCATTACTGTAAGACGAACGATTGATTATTCGACTTGATATGAAAATTTTACAACATATCCTTCGAAAGAATATAGAAGCTGGAGAAACTAGTAGGTGGTCTGCAAAATATATTTTTTAGGTTTTTAATACCATTTTTGTTCAGTAAAAAATGTCTTTCAAATACGGTGAGATTAGTTTCACTCAATCAGCGTTGTTATTCAAATATGGATTCCTAAAAGTTTTAAGAACCATTTTTATAAAATTTTATAACTT